TTTGTCAGAAGAGGCTTTTCTGGCATTTGGCCTGTGCACACGAGGCCAAATGTCACAAAAAAAAAAAACCTTTTTTCAGCACATCCCTCCTTCTTCATGAAATGAGGTTTACATGGATGCCAAAAAGCGCATCTACTCTTCCAAATTTTTTTCGGAAACTACACTCCACAGCCCCTCCTCAAGTCCTGCCCCCCACCAGGGGCCTGCTGGGGCCCCTCACTTGGACCCACAGCAGTCTTCATGGGGCTAGATGTTGGAAAAACCCCTTTTTTCGGCACATCCCTTCCTCATGAAACAAGGTTTACAGGGCTACCGAAAAAAATGCATCTGCTTTTCCAAAATTTTTTTGGGAAGAGCAGACATGTTCCTTGGACACAGCAGAGGTATCCCGGAAAAAACTCTGCAGTGCTGACATGGCCTTGCTGGCAGCAGCACTGCCTTCAGAACTGAGCGGCTGGAGAACAGCGGTTGCTGCCTGGGCACCCAGCTTCAAAGGCAGCTTAGAAGTGAGGGTGGCATGGTGAGTGGGGTGTTCCACACCTTTGTGGGGCCAGGCCTGCCTGGGGCCAGTAAGCTGGGTGACCACTCAGGGTGCCATGGTTGGGGGATGGAGATTCTGTGGACTCCCCCACCCACATCCCTCCAGAGCTAGCCCAAAGCCCCTTGAACTCCCGAGTGTGGGGGTGCTGAGCCCAAAACTGGGAAGGGGCACAGCTGGGGTAGCCTGTCTAAGGGTTTATACCATGTGCCGGGCTGCAGCTGCTGGTCCTGGCCAGGCTGGTGTGGTGTGAGCCTTTCTCTTTCTCTGCATTGGCCACTCCATAGGCAGTGGGTAATGTAAGCCAGGAAAGGTATTGCCATCCCAAATGCCTACACTGCCCAGCTGTTCGGGAGAGGCTGAGTCCCTGCTGCACAGTTCTCTTGTGGCTAGGGAAGGTTGGGGTCCTACCATGTAGAAGCCCTAACCCTCAGCTGAGGTAAGATGGGGCTTGGCTGGGAATGGGAGGTTGTTAAAGGGGCATGGTCTTGGGGAAAGGGGTATGGCTTTGGACAGGAGTAGGACTTTGGCTTGCTTTCCCCAGCTGAGCCTTCACGCACTGCCCGTGGACCCTCCTAGGGCTCAGTCAGCCCCATTTCTAGGAACCTCAACTTACAGAAAACTCTGTGGCTGCCAGATGGGAGCCCAGCTCTGCAGGGCTGCTGCCTGATATGACTAGATGTTAATTCTTGGTTTTGTGGGTGGGTACTCGTGTTGGGGGGAGGCTATTTTCTGCATATTTATAAACTTTCATATTTTAGTTATTGAGAGAGTTCTATTATGGACTAAATATAGTAGATGGTGCTTGATCCTTCCCTAAATGTAGGGGACTGGACTTGGTGACCTCTTGAGGTCCCTTCGCATTTTAATAGTCTATGATTCTATAATTACATTCTCTGGGATGACAGTGTATTAATGTCATTGCAATCACCTACAAGCTTTCTTCACTAACATCCCAGTTTAAAGACATTGTGCCTTGTTGTAACTTTCTGGCTGAAACTCTCAGCAATCTTATTTACATTTGTTACCTCATACTACTCTGATGCACGCTAAGAACAGCTACTGTCTTTGGTTGTGTCTGTCCCCTTGATGAGTGGAGATAATCTTTTAAGTTTTTTGAAGTAGGAGAATGAGAGTGCCATAGGTACCATCTCTTTGTATGCAGGGCTGGCCTTACCATGAGGCGAACTGAGGCAGCCGCCTCAGGTGCCACACTGTGGGTGGGTGGGGGGGCAGCGTGGTGCATATGTAGGTAGCAGAACAGAACCATGAGAGGAGTAGAACAGGCAGAAGGCAGAATTTAGACCTTTCAAAGTTTTGGCCTAAGCGAGGGAGTATGGGGGTGTCATTTGAACTCCCCGCCTCAGATGCCAAAATGTTGTGGGCCGGCCTAGTTTGTATGTGCAGTTGGGATTCTATTTTGTTATTACTTTGCTTTAAACACTGAATTTCATCTGCCATTGTGTTGCCAAGTCACCTAGTTTTGTGAAATCCCTTTGTCATGCTTTGCAGTCACTTTGGTTTGAACTATCCTGAGTAATTTTGTATCCTCTGCAAATGCCAGACCATGTATGAATGTCAAATGGCCTAATACCACAGGGCTGTGTCTAGATTGGCATGATTTTCTGGATCGGGGCTTTTTTGCGGAAAACAAAACTGAGATGTCTACACTGGCCCTTTTGCACAAAAGCTTTGCACAAAAGGGACTTTTGCCTGAACAGGAGCAGAATAGTATTTCCACAAGAAGCACTGATTTCTTACAGTAGGAAGTCAGTGCTTTTGTGGAAATTCAAGCGGCCAGTGTAGACAGCTGGCAAGTTTTTCCCGGAAAAGCGGCTGATTTTCTGGAAAAACTGGCCAGTCTAGACACAGCCCAGCAGTACAAGCTCTTAGAGGACACTCTATTTACTTCTCTCCATTCTGAAAACTGACCCTTTATTCTTACCCTTTGTTTCCTGTTAACCAGAGTGTCTGGCAATGGTTTCAGGATCATCAAATGATCCTTTGTTTCACTCCAACCCACAGCCCCTGCAGCCCTGCTGGGGTCCCTCACTCTGACCCCCAGCAGTGCCCCCACAAATCCTGCTGGGGCCCAACCCACAACCCCCTCCCATTCTGCCATGGCCCCTCACTCCTAGTCACAGCCCCCCGGCCCTGTTCTGCCAGGGCCCTGAGCCACAGCCCCTGCTGGAGCTCCTCACTCCTGACTTGCAACTGCTGCTGGTAAAGCAGGGAGTGTGCCTTGGAGTGCGGGTGTGCTCATGGGGTTTAGCCAAGGGGTTGGGTAGGTCAGTGGGGGGCCCGGGGGGACCAGAAGCAGAGTGAGGGGTCTGGGGGAGTCTCCCACCTCTGTTGCGCGGGCTGGGCACAAAGACTCCCGCAGTTGTGGGGGCTCTTTATTGGGCCTGGCGGCTCGGGGC